TCCCGTATTACCCTATCAGATACCATGACTCTCTAGAAGTGTGCCCTGATCTTCGCTTGTCCCTATATGCATCCACCCCACCAAAAACACACACTTCTCCATATTCCTCCTTATCATAACTACAATAAGTAGAATTTTCTGAAGGACTTTCACAAATTATATCTAAGAATAACTCAGTTTATGAAGTCCAGTTTTCTAATCTTACCTGATAATATTGCTTAGTAAGCACACGGGTCTTATTTCTCTTCCTACCCCATCTGAAGGTGTTCTGTCCCACAGAGCTGCTCTCCTCAATCCTCCCAGCCATCTCTGCCTGCCAGGAGTAGATGGAAGTAGTGGAGGTAGTCCATGAAGAGTCTGACAAAAGAGGGAATGTGGCTGGGAGCGGTGGCCCAGATATCCCTAGAGCGAATAGCTTGACCCTCAGACTTCTCCAGATGCCCACTTAGGATGCAGAAGCCAATAGTCCTGGACAGGGTCTGTACGGCCTGCTGCTTCCCCCTGGAGTGATGTTGAGAGCTGTTTATACACATCAAGTCATAGGGCCACACCTAGTAGAGACTGTAAGTTATTTAGTCCAGTCCCTTCGTTATACAGTTACAGAACCTGAACCCAGCTTGATGAAGGGGTTTAACCCAATTGTTCAACTAATTAATGACAGAGCTAGAACCAGAATCCAAAACTTTGACAACTAGTTATAGAACCTACCTCACTCATAGGCCAGACATATAGCGTACACTCCTGACTATACCTGGACCCTCAGTGTACTTTCAGTAAGTACTCATTGAAGCATGCATAGCTCTACCACCCCCAAGCAGACAGCCTTATTCTAATCCACAGTTCCATCCTATGTGAAGCAGCCAACTCTGGAACAAATATACCAAGAACATCAGAAAACAAGTGAAATAAATTGTCCTACAATTTTAATGAAAAAGTAGAAACTCAGTAAAAATATAAAGTACCTATTGTTCAATGGCTCATAGTCCTAGGTGGGCAAATGCTTAACTGTACTGGGAGTATATGGCAGTCGTTGTGGTAACTGTTTTAATTTCTCAAGTCCATAAGCTCATAAAACTGAAGCAACTGTGAGGGATGTGAGTTTGTTGTATCACCTTCGTTCAGATGGGCATAGAGCTGGATTATTTGCAGGGCTGGCTGATGTCCCTGCAGAGCCATTACCTGCTCATTTTGAGAAGCCATAGGATGGAGAGGATGCATTGGCAAAGTCAACGTAGTGGCCATATATTCTAAAAGTAAGATCACCCTGGAAATTCTTTAACTGAGGTAATGACCGACTTTAGAAACCAGGAGAGACAAAACCCTGTAGTCATTAATTCAATGACTCACAGGACTTTCACATCCCCAGGGCCCTAGAACAGTCTGCTCATTTAAAGGATGCAGAAGAAGAGATCAAGATCATACCACAGGCTAGAGACAGAGCAAAGATTCTATCTTAATATGCAAATTCAGTATGTATACTTGCATCTTGGCTTAAGAAGGAAGAAAAGATTAGAAAATTAATTTACAAACATTTAGAATATCCAATAGTTTTGATGATCATTTCAACATATAGTATCTTACTTAATGCTTATTACAATCCTTTGAGGAAAGGCCATTGTCCACTATTTTGCAGCTGGGTAAACTAAGACTTGAAGAAGGTGAGAGACCTGCTCAAGATCATGTATCTATCCGTGGCCACAGAGCTGAGACTTGAGCTTATGTCCTCTGCACCCAGGTTCATCTGAGAAATTGCAGTATAAATCCATCTGGCTTTATAAGTGTCTCCCAGGCCAATATGTCTGTGCCCACATATTCCTAGACTAATTCTTGGCAGACTCTGCATAACTCAGTCAGCACTTTAAATGGTGTTCTTTGTATCATTAAATCAGGAAAGTGGATGTAAGCTGACAAAGGAGTACTTGGCTCACAGCCGATTCTAGGATGTTACTATATACCATGTTTTATAAAGAGTGTTCTGAGACAGCTTTTTAAATGCTACAAAGACTAGTTGTTGGTTTCTAATTTCCATCTGTCCTGGACAGTTTTGATAATACAATAAAAAATGTATTACTATGAAAACAATAATCACAGACTGGAATGTGTCAGCAGTGTCAACCTGCCATACAAATTGTTAAATGCTTATTCTCAATTTTCTGTAATTGTTGCAAGACAGTAACAGTGTACATAGCAGCATGGGTCTGCCAATCACATTTTGAGAAACACTGTTCTAAGCAACACCATTCCTGAGAGAAATTCCCTGAGTAAAGAGTTCCTTAATCAAATAAGTTTGGGAGACCCCATAGCTAGAAAGCATCAGTGCACAACAACATATCAAAGGCTCTGAGAATCCTTGCATTAAAGAAGCTTGTTTTAGCATTAATTAACTCAGCATTTCACAAACTAACCTCAAAACCCACTGTTCATGGAATGCCTTTCAGCATCCTGCAGAATTTATATTTCTTGAAATGCACTTGGCTGTGTCTTGCCGGCTATGGGCAGAGCACAGGCCCCAGGCATACCTGAAATGAAAGCCTCTGTCTTTAACCCATGTTCTCATGTACTGAATTTTTTTTAATTCTTCATAATCTTTTATTTGTGTGGTACATAAAGTCATGTTTCGCCTTGTACCATCTTCTATGCTACTTTAAAAAAATATATTTAAGTTGAGGTATATACAATAAAATACACAAATCTTAGTGTACAGCTTAATGAACTTTGACATATATTACACTTATGTAATCATTGCCCAGATCAAGATACCAAACATTCTCTCCAATTTTCCCTCTTTACCTGTTTGACTCATCTCCTCACCCCCTCATCTACGACAACTACCACTTTGCTCTCTGTGTTTATGAGTCTATTTATGTTTGTTTGTTCATTTATTTTGTTTTTTAGAATGAAATCATTTGGTATTTGTCTTTCTCTCTTTGACTTATTTCACTTAACGTAACACCCTCTAGGTCCATCCATGTTGTTTCAAATGGCAAGATTTCATTCTTTTTGTGGCTGAGTAATTTTCCATTGTATATATGTACCACCTCTTTTTTACACATTCATAGTTTTCCCAACACCATTTATTTAGAGATTGTCTGTTGCCCATTGTGTATTCTTCCCTCTTTTGTCATATATTAATTGACCATATATGCATAGGTTTATATCAGGGCTCTCTATTCTGTTGCATTGATCTACATGTCTGTTCCTGTGCCAGTACCATACTGTTTTGATTTCTATAGTTTTGTGGTATAGCTTGAAGTCAGGGAGCATGATACCCCCAACTTTGTTCTTCTTTCTCAGAATTGTTTGGCTATTTTGTGCCTACTTTTCCCTCCCACATGGTACTCATTGTGGGTGACCTCACCCATAGAGAAGATCAAAGTCACCTGTCTGAGACAGCCCCCACTACACTTTGCCACTTCATTCTGCAAATAGATCTGCTGGCCCACCTTCCTGGAGGTGACCATGACAGGTTATCTTCCTCTTCAGTACTACCTTTCACAAGCAATTGGAATCCCCTTCCCTTTAGCCCACTTCTATGATAGCCATTCTATGATAAATACTTCTCTATTTTTAATGCAAACTGTACACCCAAACAAGAAGTGGAACTTTCACATAAAACACCTGCATTGCTGTTCCCTAATCAACAGTATCTCTTGTCACGCCCCACTCCCACTCCCTTACCCTCTCTATACCCTGCACATTTGGGTGGACTCTCATCACCTCCAGCTGGAGGGCCCTACCTTATAATGGATCATCTCTACCCTGAACTGTATTCCATTGGACCCCAAAGCATTGTTCTCACTAACAGTCAATTGCAAATTCAGCAGGGCCCCCTGCTCTGAGAGGATCTCACCTCCCAGGTTCTAACACTGTGACATATGTAGTGCTTGAGAGCTCAGGGAAGAACTTCCCAATGGCATTTCCCCAACATTAGTGCTATACAGGAGATTTAAGGACAGTCCCTACCAAACAGGGTTCTGTTAAATAAGTTGAGGAGACAAAACTACATGTGCTAACACTTATTGTGAATTTTGAGGAAAAGGCTATATACAGTAACAATTGAAATGAGAAGAGACCCCCTGAACCAGCACCAAACCCTAGAAGCCTGAGGGCCACATTTGGGGACCTGCCTGAACAGCTCTAGCAGCCAACAAGCAGCTTCACTATACAGACCTGAGACAGGAGCAGGAAATGGTCTCCTCAGTGGGCCATAAGGGAAGGGAGGAGGGGACTCCAAGAGCAAGACTTTCACAAAGAGCAACAAGAGGCCCAGAGAGACCCCAAAGGTGAGCACGCCTAATGTGACAGGTTTAGCTCCAGTGGTGAGAAAGCAGGCTTTATGCCACTGCAAGACCTGGTTCCACTAAAGAATCCGTGGAAAACTGTTTGATGGGCATGCTAGGACACTGTATACAGAGTTTTCTGACATACAGATTCCTGGAAAACAAACAAGATCAGAAGGGAAACAGATGCATTTCCCATTTGTTTGGTTTTTTAGACTCTCAGTTAGTCCCTTAGTCAACTACCACGGGCAGACTGTAAACCTTTTGAGGGCCAGGACTACTTCTCACCGACAAGATTTTGCATTTGTAAAACACCTCAGTTAACATACATCTTTACACATACTATTTCATATATACAACAAAGCAAGGTAGGTATTTGTATGTCCATTTGGCAGATAGTGATAGGAAAACTCAAACAGTATCGCCAGAAGCCCCTCCTTTCTGCAGATGAGGATCTGAGGCCCCGGGTGGGTTAATTGATTTATCACAAAGAGCAGATGCTTACAGAGCCAGGACCCATTCCAGAACTCAAAGAACTGCACCTCCTCTTAATTCTCCTTCCGTTTGTCACTTCCCTCCCCGCCCACCATGCTGCTATAATTAAAGGCCAACAGCCAAAAAGGGATCCTGAGGAATGGCTAACAAATTTTATTAGCTCTGCCTTTCTGCTCTCAATTCTCCCAGGCAGTTTGTCCTAACAGCCTCTGTGTTTCTTTGCAGCATGCAAAAGGAAAGAGCAAGAACATGGGAAGGACAGAGGCAACACGCCCAAAAAGCCCAGGCTGGTTTTCACAGATGTCCAGCGTCGAACTCTACATGCAATATTCAAGGAAAATAAGCGTCCATCCAAAGAATTGCAAATCACCATTTCCCAGCAGCTGGGGTTGGAGCTGAGCACCGTCAGCAACTTCTTCATGAACGCAAGGAGGAGGAGTCTGGACAAGTGGCAGGACGAGGGCAGCTCCAATTCAGGCAACTCATCTTCATCAAGCACTTGTACCAAAGCGTGAAGGAATACCACAAACTAAACCTCGGTGGAAAAGCTTTAAATAAAAGAATTTTTAAAAGACCGGGACCTCAAGATAGCAGGTTTATACTTAGAAATATTTGAAGAAAAAAAAGTGTTATTTATAGTCCAAAGAAACCAAAGACTTAGCTCACCTGCATTCTGACTTTGTTCGGTGACACACACTTGAACGGGGCGACGACTTGGCAAGAAAAGTTCTGAGAGCGGGGAAACACCACTGGATCTCACACCTTCAGTCCATGATCATTCTCGCTGTGCTTGGCTGTTCGTGGTTTGGAGCATAGTGATTTTGAGCCATTGAGTGGACATCTCTTAAGATCGGACTTTCTCATCTGTTCCGCTGTGCCACAAAGGTGGACGGCATCTCAGTACTGTGTGTGGTGGGTGTGTGAATGCGCACACACGCACGCACACACTCGCTCACACACGCACCACCAGTGGTTAGGGACTTAGGCAGGGCTGGTCTTCAGGAAGGGTTGTGCTGTAGGAGCGCAACCAACCAAGTTAAGGGGTTGTCTGCGTTCATTGGATCAGGAGTGAGACTGCGTTCGCCTAGCCTAGCGTTTGAACCTGCCAGGCCTGCCACCTAAATGCAGATTCAAACCCAGCAAAGAAAATTTGAATGACACCTAAACCAGTGCATTCTCTTTGTTTGTTAAGGAATGTTCAGATATTTTTTAAGAAAGGAAACAAGAGTCCATCCATTAAAAAAAAAAAAAACAACTAGGTACCAAAGAACACAATATTATAGTGCAGGTATTTTATTGCGATGATTTTAATAACCAAAGCTATTTTTACACAAGATACTATGTAAAGTTATACGTATGAACTGATCTAGCTATAACACACATGCCACATAGAATCATTCCAACAAGCAGCTTCACTATACAGACCTGAGACAGGAGCAGGAAATGGGTCTCCTCAGTGGGCCATAAGGGAAGGGAGGAGGGGACTCCAAGAGCAAGACTTTCACAAAGAGCAACAAGAGGCCCAGAGAGACCCCAAAGGTGAGCACGCCTAATGTGACAGGTTTAGCTCCAGTGGTGAGAAAGCAGGCTTTATGCCACTGCAAGACCTGGTTCCACTAAAGAATCCATGGAAAACTGTTTGATGGGCATGCTAGGACACTGTATACAGAGTTTTCTGACATACAGATTCCTGGAAAACAAACAAGATCAGAAGGGAAACAGATGCATTTCCCATTTGTTTGGTTTTTTAGACTCTCAGTTAGTCCCTTAGTCAACTACCACGGGCAGACTGTAAACCTTTTGAGGGCCAGGACTACTTCTCACCGACAAGATTTTGCATTTGTAAAACACCTCAGTTAACATACATCTTTACACATACTATTTCATATATACAACAAAGCAAGGTAGGTATTTGTATGTCCATTTGGCAGATAGTGATAGGAAAACTCAAACAGTATCGCCAGAAGCCCCTCCTTTCTGCAGATGAGGATCTGAGGCCCCGGGTGGGTTAATTGATTTATCACAAAGAGCAGATGCTTACAGAGCCAGGACCCATTCCAGAACTCAAAGAACTGCACCTCCTCTTAATTCTCCTTCCGTTTGTCACTTCCCTCCCCGCCCACCATGCTGCTATAATTAAAGGCCAACAGCCAAAAAGGGATCCTGAGGAATGGCTAACAAATTTTATTAGCTCTGCCTTTCTGCTCTCAATTCTCCCAGGCAGTTTGTCCTAACAGCCTCTGTGTTTCTTTGCAGCATGCAAAAGGAAAGAGCAAGAACATGGGAAGGACAGAGGCAACACGCCCAAAAAGCCCAGGCTGGTTTTCACAGATGTCCAGCGTCGAACTCTACATGCAATATTCAAGGAAAATAAGCGTCCATCCAAAGAATTGCAAATCACCATTTCCCAGCAGCTGGGGTTGGAGCTGAGCACCGTCAGCAACTTCTTCATGAACGCAAGGAGGAGGAGTCTGGACAAGTGGCAGGACGAGGGCAGCTCCAATTCAGGCAACTCATCTTCATCAAGCACTTGTACCAAAGCGTGAAGGAATACCACAAACTAAACCTCGGTGGAAAAGCTTTAAATAAAAGAATTTTTAAAAGACCGGGACCTCAAGATAGCAGGTTTATACTTAGAAATATTTGAAGAAAAAAAAGTGTTATTTATAGTCCAAAGAAACCAAAGACTTAGCTCACCTGCATTCTGACTTTGTTCGGTGACACACACTTGAACGGGGCGACGACTTGGCAAGAAAAGTTCTGAGAGCGGGGAAACACCACTGGATCTCACACCTTCAGTCCATGATCATTCTCGCTGTGCTTGGCTGTTCGTGGTTTGGAGCATAGTGATTTTGAGCCATTGAGTGGACATCTCTTAAGATCGGACTTTCTCATCTGTTCCGCTGTGCCACAAAGGTGGACGGCATCTCAGTACTGTGTGTGGTGGGTGTGTGAATGCGCACACACGCACGCACACACTCGCTCACACACGCACCACCAGTGGTTAGGGACTTAGGCAGGGCTGGTCTTCAGGAAGGGTTGTGCTGTAGGAGCGCAACCAACCAAGTTAAGGGGTTGTCTGCGTTCATTGGATCAGGAGTGAGACTGCGTTCGCCTAGCCTAGCGTTTGAACCTGCCAGGCCTGCCACCTAAATGCAGATTCAAACCCAGCAAAGAAAATTTGAATGACACCTAAACCAGTGCATTCTCTTTGTTTGTTAAGGAATGTTCAGATATTTTTTAAGAAAGGAAACAAGAGTCCATCCATTAAAAAAAAAAAAACAACTAGGTACCAAAGAACACAATATTATAGTGCAGGTATTTTATTGCGATGATTTTAATAACCAAAGCTATTTTTACACAAGATACTATGTAAAGTTATACGTATGAACTGATCTAGCTATAACACACATGCCACATAGAATCATGACTATTATTTATGACTCTTGAAGCATTTGAAATATTAGTTTTCAGAACTGGCAAGAAAGAATGTAGCTTCAGGGAAGCAATTAATATCATTACAAAGAGGTCACTGCAGTGTACATGTACATCCAGATGGCATACTTCCTTCTGGGATCCATAAATGACACCTTTAGTTGACATATAGATGTGATTCTATAATCTGCTCATAGCTGAGAAATCCTGGGGATTCTTCTGAATTAGTACCCTATTTGTAAACTAGAAGACTAAGTTTAACAGGGCAGGTAACTAAATTAGAAAATTTGCTCAAAGTAATGCTTTTTAGTTAAAAGGCTACTGAATAAAGGACTCAGTTCTTAGGCTAATTGGACTTAATTTGCTTTATGCATTTGACACCAAATACCTTTTTAAAATACTATACAATCACACAATAAAGTGAGCAGACTAACATTATTATTAAAATAGACTATCCAGAATTTGTAATCATCCTAAAAATGTAATCAAGCTGATTTTATTTGCCAATCCAGACATTTTATGACTTGGGCATCAGCAAAAATTGCATATACAAGTGAGAAATGGTAGAAATGCATACAAAAAGCCAGAGTTTTACTGAAGACAAGACTTTGGGTTCTAGAGGTATTAACTATTTATTTCATTACACATAGCCACCAAAGTGTACTACATTCTTTCTTGCTACTGCATTAAGCTGGAACTTGTGTAACATCGATTCCACTCTCTAACAAGGAAAGATTCCAGAAACTAGACCTGAGCCTCCAGATACAAAATTATTAGGTTTTATTTTTCCAAGTCACTTAACCAGGGCTATAAATACCAAGGCAAATTTTTTTAAAAGATAATATTGTTATATTAGCAGTACCCAAATGAGGCATTTAATTCCCCCCAAAAAATCTGCCTGAATGCAATTGAATCATAACTAATATAAGTGGATGCCTTTTGTACTATTAAAAATTGGGTACCTGGTTAATTACCACTCCTAACTAGAAATGTAAAATTAAGTGCTATCTCAACATTAAGTTGTTTAATTGAGATTCATTAAAATGCCAAAGAAAAAAATTAAACCATCTCAACACAAAACTAAACTCTAGGATCCAGTCCCAACATCCGTCTAGGTCTAGATGGAGAGATGGAACTAAACTAACAGGCCTCCTGTGTCTCCTTGACGTCTGCTACCCACTGAGAAAAGGGAGCCAACACAGACTTTTCCTTCGACAAAACTGCTCCTTTTCCTTGACACATTTTATCTTAGAATTTTTTTATCTCACCCCAAATTCCAGCTTAAGGTTTTCCCTTCTAAATATGGCACAATCATGGTTCAGCTACTAAAAGAGACCATGTAAATGGCCACCCTTCAAAATCTGCTAAAAATATAACCTTGTCAATGGCATCCCCAAAAGGGAAAAAGCTGATTAACTTTTTCTCTCTCCAGGAATGCAGGGGACCAGGGATACAGCTATATAATGTATTTATAATTTAGGAAGGAGGAAAGCTTTATTTATTTAAAACATGAGAATTTTAAGTGCAGGGAAATTCAAGCTGTGTCTATCCACAACCTTACCAAATTCAATATCACAGGAAAAACAAAAGTTGAATTCAGACAACCATGGTTTTTGCTCTGTTTTTACTCCCTCAGATTAATCCAACTGCATTGTACATTTTCAACTGATTATTTTGGTGCAAGGGAGACCAGTCTCAAAGAACATTATTACATTTTTAATAATTCCACTGTAATGTTTTTTTTAATAATCAGTGATCCTATTTGCTAACACCAAAGATAATTTTCATACCAGCATTGAATTTGCACCCATTATGCAATTTCAGGGCCTAGAAATATATTTTCTCATAAACAGATGCACAAATCAGAGCCTGAAAAGCAATCTTTTTACTTGACTATTTAAACACTCTCACAACCTTCGCTTTTTAGAAATCATAATGGACAAACTCAGCTTCTCACAAGCAATACACTTATTACATCATGTATGACTGATTCGTTATTGCTTTTGACTTGGCATGTAGAGAGGAAATGCTTCCATTCCTGTTTAGTAGAATACAAATTTATGGCTCAGGTTTCTTTACCTACCACATTGAACAGAGCAGATCATGCACCACTTGTTCATGCATCATTTCTCAATCCCTTTGCAAAATTCACCTTAAAGGGTATCATTGTTTTGGTATGTTTGTTTATTCCAAAACTGCACTTCAAATAACATGTTTTGGGTTTTTTTGGAAGGATGGAAGTTAGACTGTTTGGGGCCTTAAATCATTCAGGTCCTCTCATGACTGGAAGCTTTCCTGAGGGGGCTAAGAGAGAGAGTGGGAGGTATGAAGTCTGGACATTCCAAAATCCCAGATTTCAGTAAATGTTCAGGTACAATAATTCTGAGTGTCAGGAACTGAGTATTCCAGTCCCTGGATGCAGCTGGAATAGACCCCCAAACCAAAGAGAATGTGTGGAAATTCAGAAATGCTAACTGAACATGTTACTCACTCTGCCCCAAAACAGGCATAATTAACTCTCCAGGTGAAAAAGTAAAAGCACTCTACTGCTTTTGAACTCATGCCACTCCCATTGTGCCCCAGGTGAATGACCCATCTTTGCAGGTTAAATGCAACCTTTGCTATACCAAAGAGTCCTAGGACTTTTCACGTGAGCTATAAAGGCATTTTCCCTAAGAAAGGTCCTCCCTTCTTTGTACATAAAGGATGAAAACTATGCATTTAGCAAACAAAGAGAAAGCACTTCTCCCTTTCCTACCTGGTTGTTTAGGGTGCATTCAAACCCCAGAGGCCATTTTGAGACGCAACTGGCTTTCTGGACCATTCTTGTGGTGTGGTTAGCTTTACAGTTCATTTGGTAACTATTTCCTAAATAGTAAGGACAAAGAAGCAGAAGGTAAGAAATAGCTACTTCCACGTGTAAAAAAAAAAAAGTGTAAAGATCTA